GTTTATCTTCATAGAAAGGATATTGTATTTTATGAGGAACAAAATACTCAAATGTATCTCTCTAGAACAGTGGTTCTCAACCTTCCTCATGCCACAACCCTTTAATACAGTTCCTCATGTTGTGGTGCCCCCCAACCACAAAATTATTTTCATTGCTACTTCATAACTGTAATTTTGCTACTGCTATGAATCAGGCAACCTCTGTGAAAGGGTCGTTTGACCCCTAGGGGGGTCGCGACCCACAGGTTGAGAACCGCTGCCCTAGACTAAGGAAACTGGTCTCAGTGTTCTCTAGGTTTTGATGTTCTGTGTATGTGTGGAGCGCAGTGTCCAATACACACTTGTTGCCTGAGTGAACGTCCGTACTTGATACCCTTCTCCTGTGGCTGATGAACAGTACCTCATTAGTGCTCAGTGACAGAGTCTACCTTCCGACACAGCTGTTCAAAGAGAGGTGTGGGAGCCATGGGGACACTTGATTGGACTCCCGTTTTACCACATTTCCCCTGGCTGCTGTGTTGAGAATGAACTCAAGGGGAACAAGGGGGAAAGGGGAACCTGTCAGGCTCCAATGACAGGAACGTCCCCACGGACAGTGGTGGCTTGGCTGTGACACGAGCCGTGGGAGTGCTGAGACGTCGCTGGCCTCTGGAGAAGTCACCCATTTTTTGCAGTGAAGTCATCAGGATGTGTTGACGGAATGGACATGAAAGGTGCTAGAAAGAGGAAAATCAAGAACAACTCCAAAGCTCTTCGTCAAAGCAACTGAGCTGTCACCAATCAAGGCCGAGCCAGCTGGGAGGGAAGCAGGTGTAGGCAGGGGAAAAATAGGAATTTGGTTTTGAAAGGTTCACTTTGAGGCATTCTATTTAAGACTTCCCAGTGCAGACGTCAAGTAGAGAGTTGGACATCTGGGTAGGGTTGGAGCTTTACGTTTGAAAGCCATCAGCACATAAAAGGCATTTAAAAGCCTGAAGCGTGGGACTGAGCATGATAGTGGGACAGGAGGAGAATCAAGGGAAATAGAGGAAAGAGCTGGGAGGAAAAGGGCATCTATAGAGGTCTAGATAAAGACATGTACATATGCAAATATATTTCTATGAGGATGGGGAAATAGATCTATGTGTCTAT